TCGTGTGTTATGTATCTCATTTGGTAAATAGTTTTTACTTGGTTTATCGAATCTGTAAAAATTTGTTTAATAGAGAGATATAATGGGATCTCTGATATAAGTCTCATATATATAGTACAAATGACAATTTATATTATCAATTTCATTTGAGCTTGAACTTGGAAGAAGAAAATTGTAAATAAAAATGTAAGAATAATAAAAATAGGAATTTGATTACACTTGTGGTAGATGATCGAAATCCAATATCATTGAAAATATGATTAGGCTCAGCTCATTTAGCCTGCCACTCACAGCATCACCATTATCACTCACAGCATAACAATTTCATTGAATTCACAGTTCAAATAACTACGCAGTAACGTAGGAGCAACTTATTTTGATACTCCCAGGATACCACAAAGACCGTGTTGTGCATGCAAAATCTATCTCGGGAAACATTTCACATATAAAACAAAAACTGTAATCAAAGAAAACTTTCTGCATTAGGCTACCATGAAAAAAAAAAAAACTTTAGCCTTAAGATCAGTTTCTTGCTTTACATACGATGATTTGGAGATAGCCTCAATCAAACTTCGATCTCTTAAGTTTCCTGAGGGGGCTCCGTGGAAATAGTGTTGGTATCAGCCTTAGCGACTTCTTGATTTGCCAAGCTATTTTGTCTAGAATGAACACTATCAACAATATGTTCGAAGGTAAAGGATATGTTTTGGAGAAGCCAATCAAAAACTTGTGATGCAAAAACTGGGGCAGTCGGTCTACGACATTTACTGCTAACCAACTGCAATAAATAAACCTCTTTATAAAAGAGTCAAAACTGTACATTGAGTTACGTAGTTAACATCTGCATCCTACAATATTTGATTATATAAGGCAGTAAATGTCGAATCCTCGTAGGTAACAAAACTAATATAGACAACAATATCACGCATAGTTTCTAGACATGATCCCTAGGTTGCCCAAGTCCAAAACCTCTTCCTATATACGCACAGTACAATTAAACTAAGCTCGATTCTAGCATGCTTTAATCGAGACCACACTCAACTACGACAAAGGTCACATTTTAACAAACATAAAACACAAATGGTCAAACAAAGAACATTAAGGTCACATTCTGAAGACTATTTTGTTGCTAGCTTCATCATGGGCTACCTGAAGAAGCTCATCAAGCTTTCATTGCAATGTTTTGACCCTCAACACTCCAACAAACAATAGAGCTTGGGCAGAAACAGATGAACACCCTTGAGGCTATCACCAGGAAACTTAGAATGGGCTAACAAAGAACCTTATCATTCCTATGCACCAACTAGGAAACCTGAGCGAACAGCCTTACCACAGGCAAAAAATTACTTACTGCCAATGGGATGGCAGCTAGAAGGGAAAAAAGACTGTTATAATTGTGATGAGAGGCTTACTTATGGGCACATGATCCTGATCATGACAGAAGAAAAGGAGTTACCCTATCTACAAGATGTTCATGAGAAGGAAAATATGGAAAATGACCCTGTTACATGGACGAAGCTCAAATGGCTTTCTTAAATTTTTCATGAGTTTTGATTAAGATCAATCCAAATCATTGTCAGGAATAAGGTGACAACAAATGAATACTCGTAAAAGATTCATATTTCACTATAAGTTTCAATCGAAGTTCTTGTACACAGTAAAGCCCTTCCATTTCCCTTTTCGAACTACTATTTCAAAAACCGAAAACTATAAAGAAACTATTTATACTTGGTATGAAACTGTCATAATCGTTCTTCTTTTCATGTATGAAACAAATAATACAGTATGAAATGACACAGGGATCCTCGAACACATACATGGCAAATTCTTCACTTCTTTTGTCTCTCCTTCTACTATCCTTCGGTTCGTAAGCAGTGTTCCAAAACAGTCTAGCTTCTGCATCCGCCGAATTTCAGAACAATGCTTATAAGATTCTTTTATTTAAAATTTTATCTATACATATATATTTTTTTTATCACTATTATTTCTAACAATTTGCTCCAACAGTTGCAGTATGAGGGCATCATGTACAAATGCAGAGAAAATTCATCATGAAGATTTTTTTAACAAGGGAAGCTTCCGGTGAGTCGAATATGGTCGAGAGTCCTCTTGAGGCCATACTTGAGCACTGCCTTATTCCCTTCTCTGAACCCATCTCCATAAGCAGCAGAAGAATCCGATTCTATCTGGTGCTTGAAAAACTCACCCAGCTTTTTCTCGAATTCAGACCGTTTTCCCTTTTTCGAGGATCCAGACGATGATGATGTCAATGACGATAAGGCAGATGAAGAAGAAGAAGATGATGATGATGAAGATGAAGTAGATGCCGCATTACTACCAGAACCGGCTACAATTTCAGAATCTAACCACATATGGGCCAGCACTTGGCATATGCCTTCTTCTACGTCTGGACTAAGATTTGGATAACCTGAAAAATGAAATTGATTTCGTAACTGAGTTTTCAAGCATATTAAATCCAAAATATTTATTAAAAAAAAAAAAAAACGCTTTTTGATAATTACAAATAGCCCATTATGTTTTTTATGCTTCAAAATATTTATTTTCTCCTTTTGGTAGTCCCCTTACCTCTGAGTCGTAGCCATGCATGCATCATCTCATGAGCCAAAATCGAACCAGTCAACAGCCTAGAGAAAACATGTTGTTAATTATGTGCATGTAGTATTAATATAAAATCAACTGCAGCTACAAGTAGAAGAAGAAGAAAAAGTACCTAGGCAAACCGTACAAAATAAGGATTGCCGTTACTTCACATTTCCGAACGAGCTTGTAAGGCTCCGTGATCATGTCTACTATTCGGTATCCACCTATTCTCGGCCGCCTCAATATCTGAAAAATAATAAAAGACAGAGATAAATTTCTAATAGCATATCTTTTTCAAATCTGGCCGTAGTTTGTACTTCGTACGCTCAAAACACATACCGTGCTAACAGTTTGCTCTTCCGACAGGCAAAGTCCTCTGGTCTCGGGCATATGGTGATGACCCTGTCAACAGAATAAATATTGAAAAAATAAAATCAGAAAACTATTGAAACTTGAGCGAAAATGTGATGTTATTCACAAGGAACTAAAAGCCTCTACATTTTTCTCTCCTTCCATGGCCTCATTAAGAGCTTGTCTCTCGACCAAGAGTAACGGGACTTGCTGCTCCACCTTCATGTTTAAACCCTCGTAAAATTCCTGTATTTCGAGGTAAAGGGGCTGGCACTCGTGGGTATCCATTATTGACGAGTCAAGGCACTCCAAACAGAGCTTCCTTCCATCATCAAGAATTAAATATCTGGCATCCACAGGCTGCATTCAGGAAAAAAAAAAAAAGATTGACATTAAGGTTTACCCAAATTTTTATCCTTTTTTAAGATTAGTATCTTATTTGGTTTTTTTTTTTTTTTTTTTTTTTTTTTTTTTTTTTTTTTTTTTTTT